AGAGAGAGAGAGAGAGAGAGAGAGAGAGAGAGAGAGTTCCAAATGTTCATTACTGAGACTAAAGATGTAACCTTTCATGGATGGTTTTGTTTTGTTTTGTTTGTTTGTTTGTTTTTTGTTGTTGTTTTGTTTTTTGGAGGGAAGTTATAATCTTTGCATCTTCCCCCGTTACTATCTATAGTGTTGAATTTTAGTTTTGCTCAATTATGTTCATGATTTTGCTTGGACAAACTCTCAAAATTTGAAAGACCAAGGACGAAAAACATTTTACTATTGCGTGCTTTAGAAGGAAGAGCATAACCTGAGCTGTATAATAATAATATATTTCATGAACAACATTGTGAATGAGGTGTCCAAAAATATGACATGTTTGGTTACAGCTTTTTGCATTCTGTTGTTGTTCCTATCTTTAGTAAAATGTAATGTCATTATACAAACATTTATAATATCATTATACAAACATAATGTAATTATTCAAAAATAATGTCATTCAGAAAAACATGTCATCATAAATATATTTGATATATTTTTAGAAATTACAGATATAATGTCATGGTTGAAGGCTCTCTTAAATGATATTGTTGTGAGTACTTGCTGCTTAGGTGATGAATGATTGAATCTAGTGCAAGGAGCAGTTACGTGATTAAATGAATGATTCTAGTGAGTAGATAGGTGATTAAATGATTGAAGCTAGTTAGTAGTAGGCAGTTAGGGACCTAAATGATTGAATTTAGTGAATAATTAAATGATAAGGAATTGAATCTGGGGTTAGTTAAGTCATTAATGCTTGAAATAAATAATTGAATTCAGTGAATAGTTAAGTGATAAAGGATTGAATCTAGGTGGGGTTAGATGATAAATGATTAATGGTTCAATCTAGTGAGTACTTAAGTGCTAAATGGTTGAATCTAGTGAGTAGTTAGTTGATAAATGGTTGAATCTAGTGAGTAGTTAGTTGATAAATGGTAGAATCTAGTGAGTAGTTAGTTGATAAATGGTTGAATCTAGTGAGTAGTTAGTTGATAAATGGTTGAATCTAGTGAGCACTTAAGTAATAAAAGATTGAATCTGGTGGATAGTTAAGTGATAAACGGCTGAATCTAGTGAGTACTTAAGTGCTAAATGATTGAATATAGTGAGTTCTTAATTAAGTGCTAAATGATTGAATCTAGTGGGTACTTAAGTGATAAATGATTTAACCTAGTGTGTAGTTAGGTGAAGCATACTTCTTTGACTTGTGTGATTAGCCAGTTTAAGAACTGACATGTAGAGAACTTTTTTTTTCTTTCTTGTTTTTTTTTTTTTTTACTCTTTGGATTGTTGGACAGGTTTATTATATAAGAAACAAACCCCGTCTCCAGCATGTTGTTTTAGTCCGTTACGTCACACCCTGTAGTTTATAAATTACCCTCGCAGTATGGCGAATCCGAAACCCCCTGCCTGAAAAACGCGGATTCGCCAGTTTGCGAAACTAACAGTCTGTTTAATCTGATGCTGCTGTTGATACTTTGTGCATCTCTCTAGCCAGTCTAGCTCTTCTATAGACCACAGATGTGTATGTCTCTCTAGCTCTTCTATAGACCACAGATGTGTATGTCTCTCTAGATCTTCTATAGACCACATATGTGTATGAATCGGTTCAATCTGATGCTGCTGTTGATACCTTGTACACACAGAATTCTCCACACTTATGATAGAATTCTATGTGTGTTCGTCTCTCTAACTCTCCTATAGACTGCACAGATGTGTGTGGACCTGTTCTCCGGCTACTTACGACAATAAATAAATCGTGTATACAAAAAAATGATGCGTATATTAAATTTTTGGGGGTTCATATGTGTTGTCTTATTGACGCTGTTTCACTCTCTTGAATTGTTCGTCTGTTGTGTTTGTTGGGGTTTTTTTTGTTTGTTTGTTGTTTTGGGGTTGTTCTTTTGTTCTGTTTTGTTTTTGTTTGTTTTGTTTTTGTTTGTTGTTGTTGTTGTTGTTATTTTTTGTGGGATTTTTTTTTGGGGGGGGGGGGTTCTTTTTTTGGGGGGGTCTTTTTCGTGTTTGTCTGTTAGGTTGCTATGCTGACTGGCGTCTGTGGTGTAGTGGTTAGGTGGTCTGCTGCCGCACGTTGGCGACCCGAGATCAATTCCAGAGTGGGGTTGTTGTTGTTTTTTTAATCGAGTATCTCTGTTTTTGTGATGGGATGTTGTATCCCTGTCAGCCCGGGTTGGCTTTGACTGGCAAGGTCGGAAGCCCCCCGCCTCCTGAATGATCCAAATTGTGTCGATGTGTAAAGTGTAAAGACACCTAAGCTTACATTAATAAAAGACAAACATGACGCCCTCTTTTCGCTCGTTGTTCCTTGCTTTATTAACCACAGTACTTACCTCTTGGATTGAAAGAAAAAGAAAACAAATAAACTCCAATTTAATTACCACAGGCCCACTTATTAATTGGTTCAACACTATGCTTATCTTTTTTTAATGTCTTCATAATACTTGAGACAATTTTATCTCTAGCTTCGTTTCTTGTTGTTCTGTTGTTGTTGTTTGTTTTTTTGGTGTTTTTTTTTGTTTGGGAGGGGGGGATAAGAGATCTTTTCTTTCTTTCTTTCTTCCTTTCATTCTTTCTTTCTCGGCGTTGTCCGTCCACTGCAGGATGTATCCCTCCAACAACGACCTCCCACTCTGTTCTATCAGCTGTCTTCCTCGCCCATGTTGCACCCGTCCTGTCTTTGATGTCGTCCTGCCGTCTTCTCTCTGGCCTTCCTCTACATAAATGTGTATGTTACTCTCTAGTAAAGTCCCTAACCTTCGGCACCTATGTGACCAATTTGTGTGGCAAGTGCCCTAAAACTATTACGAAAACTAAAACTAGCAGGATAAGCTCCCCCCGTCACAAGACCTAACTGTGGGTGGTTGGTGGGTGCTCTGGTGTGGTTTGCTCCTTCTTTCCTATTAAACATCTATCGTCCTGATCTCTCCTCCTTTTTTGTGTTAGTTACTCTCTTTTATAACTTCTAATCGTTAGCACCTATATGACCTTAATGTGTTGCAAGCACCGTAAAACTCTTACTAAAACTGACCAATTTGTGTGGCAAGTGTCGTAAAACTCTTAGGAAAACTAAAACTAGCAGGATAAGCTCCCCCGTCACAAGACCTTGCTAGATCAGTGTCCGTGGGTGTTTTCCTTTGATCGTCCGCCGCTCCCAGTTCCCTTACACGAACACTGCCCGTCTCCCGTACACGGGGCCCTGGGGGGTGGGGGTGGAAGAGAGGGGGGTGGTGAGAGGAATGGGAGAGAGGGGAGGGGGTGATGGGAGAGAGAGGGAGGATGGGAGGGGGATGGGAGTGGGAGAGGGAAAAAGGAGGGGCC